CCTCAAGCTGTTTCTTTCCTTCTCCTCTCCTTTCTGATAAATGTCACCTCTTGTCTTGTCTTTATGTCTTCCTTCCCCTATCCTGCCAGCCCACTCGGTCTAACAAGGTGATCAAATTCTGATGGGTCCTAAGAACACAGTGCACTAGAACAGTTTTTATGCACACAAACATACATGTAACAGCATTTCTTACAGTAAAGCATGTACGCACATATGTACCTAGAGATGCAGATTTATACAATTAAACACCTGCACGTTTTGCTTAGGATCAGTTTTCAATTAACGCATGTAAAGTCAGTAACATTCGGTGGCCTGGGCAGGTTTGTGTGTGTGTCTGAGGAGAACAGAGGATAAGAGAGCAGATGTGTCAGCTGCATGGTGTGGACCTCTGTTTATGTGGGAGAGTGTGTGCATGTTAACATTACTGACATTGTTAGGGGAGTTATGCTGCATGACTTGTCAGTGTACATTTGTATCACTGTGGCCTTGCTCCCAGGATGAAACATGGATACACACAGTAGCATTCACTTCCAAAGAAATTTCAGTTCTTCAACAATCTAAGTACCAAGCTAAAAGTGAAAAGAGAAAGGAACTCTAACCATGCCTTTGTTATTATTAGATCATTTCCATGTGTATAATGAGCACAAAGTCTCTATAGACTGTAAATGTTTACTATTATGTGCATGTAAATGTATGTATAATCTAAATTCAACGTGCAAAGGTGAAGGACTTTCATTGAAGTTGTGTGCCTCTCATTACATGTCCGACATTTTCATCATGCAAGTTGTTAAGCTATTCTTATCAAATCAACTTATGTGCATTTCTTATGGAATGTTGGGAAATTAAATGATTCTGATTCCTCGAGCTATGAAATAAAATACTTTTGGGAAAGCTGTTGCTTATTGGTCTAATATTTTAGTCTCCCAAGCACTTCATTAATTCAGGTGTAAGGTAAAATTGTCATATGCTGATGGACAAACTGTACAAGCATTAGAAGAGTGAAATAGGAGAATGCAGTGTGTACATGTCTATCATCCATGTTAGAACGTGCACAAGCAGATGCAACACATTACTCCCTTAAAAACGGAGTAATAGGGACTTGTTAATAAAAGCCTTTTTGTAGTGGAGAGAGGAGGAGACATACTGTATTGTGAGGGGAGAGACTGTGTGGATGAGAAAAGACAAGGAGGGAGGAAAGTGATTATGGCCACATGATAAAACCACTCAGGAAAGGAACAAAGAATTAGAGATACTTATGGATTTAAAAGGGGCAGAAGGTGAGCAATACAAAAATTTAATGAAATGATGAGAGAAACACTGGGGACTAAGGGGGAAGGAGTAGAAGGAAATGAGAAGAATCATCAGGGGTTGTCGGGGATGAGACAGCTGAAAGTGAGTAGGTTGTAAAGATTTTTCCCCTTTTCATTGGATTTTTTTCTTTTCTGAGAGGCAAAAACACGTAGGTAGAAGCCAGAAAAAGCTAGAAGAAGGATGAAAAAGATGCTGGAGATTAATTGAAAATAGGACAAATGCAAAAAAGTGATAGGGGAAAAGGCAGAAGGAAGAGAGGAATTTAATCAGATGAGGACAGGGTGAAGAAGAGAAATAGCAGATCTTGTTTTCTTTGACTGAGATCTTGTTTCCTCTTGTCTGCATAAATCCATCAATGTGGACGTACACACATGCCCAAACATAGGCAGGTGCACACTTACTTGGAGGCCAAACACCAAGTTGTGAACTGATCTAATCTGAGTCAAACCAGTCTACTTCCTCCAGCCTTTAATCCTGTTATTACCACCTCCTAGTGATTCATTTATTGACAGTAGAAATGTGTAGCCTTTCCACCACTGTATAGGACTGTGAAGGCATACCAGAGTATTCTCTCATTTGCTTTGGATCAGTTACAACTAATCACTCTTTAAAATTAGCCAACTTGAAACAGCTTTTAGTTAGGCCTCAGTGAAATACTTACACACAAATACTGTGAGTACGATTAATTCTTCAGCGTCACCTAAAAGCATTGGTGTTGGCAACAACTAAATATCTTCATTTTGTTTCACATGGAACACAGAATTATATTGAAGAACAAAAAACCCTGACTCGTCCTGTGGGGCCCTGGAGGTGCAACCAGACTGATGTCTATGTCAAATGGCCTAGAATGCTTAATGAGATGAATAAAGGCTAATCTGATCTTATATCAGACAGGCTCTAGGGGCATCTAGTTTAGCCACACATCGTGTCACTAACACACAGACTTAAAGGCATATCCTTTCTCTTTACACACCGGCGCTGAGAATGCTATATTACATTTACATTAGGAGCAATGAATAGCAACAGTGCAGAGCTGAAGAGTGATTAAAGACAAGATGAGCCTTTCAAACACTGATGTTAAAATAAATTGCTAATATTCAGTAATACTGTACAACTGTACCAGATATCTGTGCATACAAAATATTCTAGTACATATCCCTGTTTTCTGTTAACTCACTGTTCATTTTAATTACAAATGAAGAAGTGAATGTTCCAGTGATTATGAGACATCATAGTAGGTGGTGAGAGACCTTGCCTCAGACACTCTACAACAAAACCATTTAAATACAGTGACAACGCCTTAGAGCATACAAAAGTACAAAGACAAATGCACTACTACTTCAGTTATGTACACATCTTTGTATTTCTAATTGTTGTTCTGTATGTTCTTGTTTGGGTTCATTTAATTTTAATGCCAATATTTTTACAGTGAACTTCCAGCTCTTTAGCAACTGATATCACTACCCTAGCCAATTTGGTGATAAGAGAATACACTATAAACCTGACAGATGCTTTGGGCTAAGCTTGCACACTAGAAAATCATTAGAATGACACATGCAAATGCAGACAAATCCATATACAAAAGGCACAAAACACATATGTAAATCTCTCCTTCCTGCTCTCTCTCCATGTCTTACATCAGTACAGTGCATATTTTTAGGGTGCACAAGGGAGACTCCACACAGGTGGTGCTGGTGGGTCAACCAACCCACTGACTTTTAGTGTGTGAGAGTGTTTGCCCCTGGAGGATGGAAATGTTAATCTTTTTTAGTCCATGCCTCAGACCATTGGTCACAATGACATCATTTATTCCCCTGAGTGTTTCACATCTAGTCCCTGAGGAGGATAAAGTCAGTGTTGCTGGACCAGTTCCACATTCTGTTTGTATGACTCTCTCTCTCTCTCTCTCTCATTCAAACACACACATGCTTGTCTTTGTCCGATCATGCAAATCCTGCCCTGATCATTCTCCACACTTATGGATGCTCTTATTGTGTTCTACAGTTTTTTTTTGTTTGTTTTTTTACGAAACATGCATCAATATTGTAGGAGAATTTCAGACATACTGAACATTTTAATTATTTTTGCCCCTGGCACCGTCACTTTAAAATATTTATATGGCTTGTAATTTTGCAAAATACGCTGAATTTAGCAGATAAATTTATATGAGAAAGAAGAATGAACTGACTTTCTTAGTCTAAAAGATTCAACAGGTCTGTAGAATTTAAATGTCATTCATTACAGGTCTTAAATCAACCTTGTTGAAGCCCACAGCTTAAGTGTCCTTTAACAAGACAATAGGTCTTGTTACAAGACAATTGTCTTTAAGACTTGTCTTTAACAAGACTTATTGTCTTGACACTGCTCTGGGACACTGGGACTGACTGGGTCAGACTTGCCTTTCCATAAAGGGATCAAAGTTTGATAAATAAAATGTTGTCACTGTGACTCCTGTTTGCTGTGAGACCTCTCTTATGAGCAACAGCTTTGTGAAAGAAAAACGCACTGCAACTTTCCCTCTCTATTTTCTGTTCTGGCACGCTGGCGCGCACCCACGGACACACGCACACTCGCGCGCACAAACGGGTCTTAGTAGCGTCTGTCAGTGATTGTCCGTCTGATGGGATGATTAATGAGGCGCATCTACGGACACACACATCCTGGAGCCGAGAAGCCCGGCGATCACCGGGGAATCAGTCACACTAAGCCCTCAGAGTACCAGCTCAGTCACCCTCGACAAGATTGGAATGACACCCAACCAAGTGTGGACGATTCCAGTGAAATACAGAGCCAAACTCCTTCTAAAGGGGATAGGACCAGCACAGCACATTAAAGCGTAAAATGTCAGGCAGTTGGTAGGTTTCAAAACAGCTTATAAAACTAGAGAGAAATAAGTACGAGTGATCCTATACAACGAACACGCACTCTGAATGAATATCCCTTTGTATTTAAAGGAATGAGTTACACAAGTTTTGAAAAATGAAGCTGGTAAAATAGGTTCACCACTAGTAAGCGAGGAGAGAGAAACTTGAACAACCTAAATCAGACTGCAAGTCAGCAGGAGAAAAATCCGAAATCTGTCACGGACAGTAAATACTAGACTGTAACTCTCTTCTAAAACTTGGGGGATTCAACAGTACTGGTTTTGGATTTCAGACAATTATAGTGCAGTGTCCTGAAAACAACAAACTATCGTCTAAATATTTCTATACAGACCGCAAAAAACTGTTTAACATTCCGACATTGTTTCAAAAGGCTCGCCCCTCACATGCACTGTGCCCCAGGATCGAGACAGTACAAGACAGCAAACAACTGGCACATCGGAGTGCCATTCAGAAGCCCAGCCGTTGTTTGCGGTTCTAAAAGCCTGTGACCAACTGGCATAAAATCCCGGGCGCAAAAATCATTGGACCAGAGACCATAAACACTTGACACGTGAAGGTTACACGTGAAAGTGAAGGCAGAAGGTTATCCCCGCTCCTTCTCTTCTTTCTCTAGTGCATCCCGGCTCTCCAGCTCAGAGCCCCAGCTGCCACCACAGTGGGGACACCTGCAGCCCCGCCGGTAAACGCACAGACTCTGCTTCTATTCTGTTCTACTCCAGAGACCGGTTCTCTCTGCTTCCCACCCGTATCCACTCTTACCCAACCTGCGCTTGGCGACACATCCAAAATTGTAAAATAACTTACGGGTTGTTGGCAAAGCTCCGTGCGCACCGTTGACATGACAGGAAATCCACAAAGCGACCGGCAAAAACGACGTCAATCCCTGGGCAGGACGGTACCGGTGCATCTTCACGGCCTGTGTGGACACTGCAGAACGAGAGAGGGAGAGGGAACACTCAGAAAAAACAGTGTGATGGTGGTGTTAACGTCAGTGGGTCCGTTACATTCGCTTCACAGCTGAGGACTGGCAGAGGGAAGCCTGGTCGCACGATGTCTCTCTCCCTCCCCCCTCCCCCCTCCCCCTCTCTGTATGTCTAACTCTCTCCAATAAAGAGATGATGTAAGGATCGCTCCGACAAACAAGCTGTGGCCTATACTCGCAAGAGAACCACACTTCTCTCTGCAGCTCTCTTGCCTGCTTATTTGGCGATTCCAGACTAAAACAAAACCAACAACCGTGTCTCCACCTGCACAGGACAGGACCGACTGGCTGGGAACTGTAGGGTCCAGTAGTTCAACGAGCCATTACTGAGCGCAACTCAGAGCCACTGAACTGCGTTCTCCTCTCCAGTGCGCTGTCCGTGGTGCTGAACTTATCTCAGTCTTTCTGCCTCTCTCGCCCTCTCGAAATTGGTTTCCATTTCTTAAAGCCAGACAGTGCCCCCCTCCTTTTCTAGGTGGTGGTGTCATTATAATCGGTGCATTCGTCTCCCTTCATCACATCAAAATTTAGATATGACCAGTCACTTTACATGCCCTGACGTTTCACTCTAGATTTCATTTGAAAAGTGCTTTTTGGGCTAATTAAGTAACGATTTATTAAGAAGTATAAACTGCAAAAGTCATCTTAGATTTGTTATGAAATGTGTGTCAGAGAGAAGCCATATGAACACAACCTGCACTTTCCGTATTAATTAGTGCATATCCAATTAAGCAGTGCCATAGTGTATGTGAATTATTCATTTTAATACAGAATACTACCAAACAGTGCACATCTATGAAGTTGCCACCCCATATGGGAATTGAATAAAACTCTTAATTTATCTTTGCAACAAAATTTAAAAAAATGCACTGAACCAGTGATAAACAAAACTATTTGATTCATGTGTACATCCAGAACCTTTTTTTCCCTGCAAAAACACGCACAAAAGACAACCAACAGTTTCAAAGAGCTGCAAAGTTAAACTAAAGTGGTGCATCTTTGTTTTATACAATTATCTTGTTAGTCAAATTACACATGAATCTTTAGTGGTATCTCCATGAGTTTGGCCATGTGGTGGATACACTGAGCCAAAATATAGGACACTCTCAGGACAAAAACTGCTGAACAAAAGCACTCACCATAAAAGCACAGGAGGACAAATAATGCAAACCTGAGAGACACAATTCCTTACAGGAGCACAGTGAGGAGTTTTTAAACAGTGATCAATATAATCAATAGTTGAGCCACATGGAAGGTACAGACAAAAGCGTGGATGCAAAAACATAACAGCAAAACTGAGTCACAGATAATTTTTCAATAGTGTCTGACAACAAAATGGCAACATCGCATGTGACTGGCATTATGTTGTGAACATCTGCAGTCATCCTGATTACTGATAGAAAACAGGCGCCTGTTTGGAAACAGGTGAGTTTGATGCTGAGGTAAAGCTGGACCAGATACGGGCATGAGGCAGCAGAAGTATGCCAAAATAAGAGCATAAAAACGGAGAGTTTGATCGAGATTGTGACACAGTAAATCAAGCTAGCGATGCATGCTAACTACCTTTTAAGTGAATGAAGGGATGTTGCCTTTGTATGTTAAAGTGTATACACTTAGCAGTGATGAAAAGAGGTTGCAACACCAGCTGCTGAAAATAATCCTCAGGGAACAATGAATTCTCTACTAATTAAAGAGGCATCTGCCAGTGATTAAGCACTTTAAGTCTTTTTTGATATATCTGGATTAACTTGGCACCTCTGTTTTTTTTTTTTGTTTGCTTTTTTTTGCTTCCAGATTTCACAAGCTTGGATTAGCCATTTGGGAAGAAGAGCTAAAGTACAACACTTCTTTTGGTCCAAGTTTTTAGACTAAATGTAACTGACAGCTGAGCTCCCAAGACCTTAAATGTGTTTATACTTTTTTCTAAATGTTCAGCATCCAAACTGGAGGGGCAGTTCCTTTGGTTTTGTCATTTTATCAAGGGCAATTCTAAAGTATTGTGTATTTTTATTTACTTTTCCCTGGAACCGTGATGATTAATTTGTGATGATGGTGTTTTTGCTTATATGAACCAGAAGAAATATCTGGAAACATCCTTCAGAGACTAGTGAAAGGACATGTTTTATAATGACAAATTGTCTTCCATATCTGGCTGCCTGCATTTGTCATTATCGTGTCTCAGTCATTGTCAGATGTCCACAACATAATGTGTGATTATCATTAGAGAGCATTTTTCTCAATGTAGGACATATAGAATGAAAATGGAAAATTCTAGACAGCTCCATCTGTGATAATGTCTCATATATTTCTCCAAATGAGGGAGTGACTATGCCAGTCAGCATCCTATCATCACAAAAGTTGGGCCATGGGTCAGACACTTTTTATTGGATTATATGTCACTACTATCAAACAGAATCAGCAATGTCTTTCATCAGGAATCAACATTATATAGTATTTACCAATGTGTTAATTTGCCCTTAGTTTGAAATGAAATACTGTATATGCAGGCTCACAGTGCTGTTGATTAGATGTTAGGTGATCCCTGTGAGTATATGTTTTCATATTCTGCAAACCAAATAAATACTTCATAAGGACTGCACTGGCTACATGTTCACAGGTAAAACAACATCACAAAAGCTGGATAAACCTTTCAGCTGTAAAAATATCCCATAGCTGAAGTACACCTCTTTAAAAATGTAACTATACTGTACATATATGGCGGCTGTGGAGACCCCATGGGGTCACAAAAACCTTGATTGACAGTATTTTCTTCTGTAAATTGTTGCTGCTGGTGGCTACTGATCAGAGTGAATACAACAAGAGGCATGTTTGAAGAAATGCTTAGTTATCTTCTCCTTTTGAGTAAGACATCTAGTGCTCACCAACATCCCTCTCTCTGTCATCATAAACAGGGCTCATAATCTTTTCTGATATGAGGGCTAATCTCATATCAGAAAATATCATCTCACAAAAGCAGTAAAAGAATGTACAAAGAGTTACTGTGCAGAATATCGTTAACACACGATACCACCTGGCCACATAGAATACTGTATATCTGTCTGTTGTATTGGTGTTATCAGTGGCATTGCAGTTGAGTCACTACACCTCGAGTCCGAGTCGAGTCTCGAGTCCCCAGTGTTCAGGTTGAGTCAAGTCAAAATCACCAAAGAATAATTTGAGTTTAGTCTGAGTTGTGTCCGAGTTGAATTTGAGTGGAGTCCGAGTCGAGTCCATGTTACCCGAGTCAGACTCATCAAGGTCTATATTAAACACAAGTAACATACAGTAGCTTTCACCATATTCTAAACTTTCACCATATTGCTTGTCAATTTGATAAATAAAAATAATTTATAGAAAGGTGGAGTGTACGCTTCAATGGAGGTGTGCTGGATACAAAAATAAGTTTCAGTCCTCGTCTCCATCTTCTGAGATCCAGTGCAGTCAATGCTCAAGTCTGAGTCCGAGCCATCAGTACTCAAGTTCAAGTCAAGTCACGAGTCTTGAAAATCTGGACTCAAGTTCAAGTCCTGGACTTGAGTACTACAACACTATTCAGTGGGTGAAATGTGAAATGGTATCTACAATATGGGGCTCACGTCAACTCCTTGTGCCAAGTAAAAATCCCAGTTATGAGTCTAGAGCCACACTACCAGCTCCAAGAGTTTGCTTTCAGCTACATTTTTTGCACAGTGGTGTTTAAGCTATTGTTAACGTGACCATGTTAGTATGTTAATCTTTATCCGATATGATGGTTATAATCTGCATCATCTTTGTTTAGAGTGTTAGGATTCTAGCAAGTACAGCTGCCATTAGTTTTGAAGACATGCCCATAAAACGACATATTGGCAAAATACAAATTTAGACCTAATGTCATGATCTCAGTTTTTTTTCTGCCATTCTCGACCAAGCCCCTTGCATTTGATCCGTTTGCTTGCTGCACCCTTACTCATCTGCATTATCATCTCCTAGTAACAAGACATCAGTCAGCTTCCACTCACTGCCAGATTCTCAACTTCTTCTCCTTATTGTGTTTCTTACCATATTATGTTACCTGCAGAGTCATTTGTGTTATGTACCTGAGTTTTATGAAGAGGTTTTGTATTACTTACCTTCTGATTTTAAGTTGAGCTCTATGTACAATCATGACACTTGATGATGGTGCTAATCCTGTGGGGATTATAAATCTTTGTAACAAGCTTCATTATAATCCATCCAGTAGTGGAGGCATTTCACTCAAAACAATAAATGTCAACCCTTTGATGAAGCTCAAGAAAAAAAAATCAAGATCGGCAAAGTCATTAAGATACATCTAATGGGAACCATCTAAACAACATCTGGTGGCATTCCACCCAGTAGCTGTTGAGATATTTCAGTATGGACCAAAGTGGACAAAAGACTGACAGCCCGACAATGCCATCCACAGAACTACACTATTTGTTATAACTTCATATCTGTGGTCGCAGATGTGCTAAAGAATAAGCAACATGTTTTATAGGGTCTCCTTCCTCTTTTCTACCTTTTTTGTTCTCTGTTTCTATCATTTTCCATGTTTTCCTCTGCCTGTTGATTACTCCATTCCACTGTGCCAAGCCTTCTGCTGTATGCGAGTGTTCTTCCTCCACAAGGACTGCAAATGGGTTTGTCAATATGTCATGCATGGTAATTTAGAGCCATCATTCATATTGTAAAAAAACAGTGATGACTGATGGCCCATAGATTTTGAACAAAAAAGTTGATGACAGCAGTGATGAATCTCCCAAGGAAGACTGTTTTGTTCAATAAAACACTTGTGAAAAAGGAATGATTTTCAGAGACAGCTGTTACCCTGCCTGCCTCGCTCCTGTAATCTACCCATTGCAGGATAGAGAAAATGAGGCTCTAAGGTGATGTCACATACTGTTTGTGAGATCATTAGAGAAGATGTAGATTTCTCACAAACAATATGAGGAAATGATTGTTGAGCTAAACCATTCTTTAAGGCAGAGTTTTTCTTGAGAGACTTGAACGAGATTTACAGTAAATAAGAATCTGTAGTATGTTTTATGAGATGAAATTACTATGATGATAATGTGTGTTAT